AGCTACCCAGGCATCCCCCATCTCATTGCATTTTTGATGAGGTTCCCAGGTCTGTAACCCCCTCCAAGGTAGAATAGCAAAACTGATGTTTGACAGGAAAGACTAGTGTCATGATTAGAACACGTTTATTTTTGCTTCCTTCTATTCCTTTAAATTTTGCCCAATGGTGGAAGCTTTTCCCTTGACCTAGGTGAAAATTCAGTAGATGTTGAGGCTTTATGGTTTAGTCTTACATAATAGACAGTTATGGTAACTTTAGGTCTCAAATACTATCTCAATTTAGGAACTAAATTGCACAGTCCAACATATTAAACTGTTTTTAGCCATAAAGTTGTTTATTTTTTAAGTGTTTATTTATTTTAAGAGAGAGATAAAGAGAGAGAGAGAGAGAGAGAAATCCAAAGTAGGCTCTGAGCTGTCAATGTAGGGCTTGAAGACACAGGACTTAATCTTATGAATGTGAGATCATGACCTGAGCTGAAATCAAGAGTTGATGCTTAACCGACTGAGTCACCCAGGTGACAAAACAAAGTTGTTTTTACACAAAGTCGAGGTGGTTCGTGTCATAATAGATAAAGCATGTAACCTGAACAAAGGGCCAAAGCACATTAATTCACTTGCCCTATCTGACCACCCAAATGAGTCTTATGTTTTTCTGATTAGGCTCCAGCTTCACAATCACTTCGACTATTTACTTAATCTCAGATTAATCAGATTCAGTTCCTATCCCTGTTTCCCATCCCTTCCTGCTTCATAGCTGAACTCCTTTCTCTTAGTTCATTGCATTTAACACATACTTATTGAAATTCACAAGATGAATAGAACACTATGTTTGGTGTTGTAAGGGAAACTGGAGATGAGTAATGTATGGTCTTTGATTTCAAGATATCTCTATTCTTCTCTATTATTGATCTATCAACCTACCTGCCCACGTACCTACATATTATAGATAGATAGGTAGATAGATAGATAGATAGATAGATAGACAGATAGATAATATTTATAAGAAAAGTAGATAGACATATAGACACATAGAGATAAAGTTAAGATATATTCTGGCAGATGTGGTAGAAAGAAGAGACTAAAACAAGTAGTGGAGAGTAAAATAGAAGTATATTGGCACATTTGCCTTCATAGAGGCACAAGCAAAGTGTCTGAGGGTGGAAGAAAGGAAGTATTATTGAATCTTGCAAGGGAGATGATGAAACATGACTTAGGAAGCTCTCCATAATCTGGATCTCCTCCATCTCTGTAGCCCCATCTCACAGAGCTCTTTCTGAACCCCCCCCCCAAAACACACTGTCTTTCAATTCCTCAAGCCAGTCCTGGGGCCTTGGAACATGCTCTTTCTTCCATCTGGAATAGTTTTCTTCCCCATCACCACCTCAGGAAAGCTCCCCTGGGTCCTTGATGGGGTCCCGCTCCCCACTATTCTCACAACACCCTATATTCTACATGGTGTCTCTTAAAATTACAATTAAGCAACCAATGGAAAATTAGATGCTTAGTGGCTGTTGCCTTTCCCAAGATATAACTCCATAGAGGTTAGGAAATATGTCTGTCTTGGTCCTCACTATCCTTTCAGAACCTGGAACAAGGCTTTGCACATAGTAGATACTCAATGGATTGTTCTGGAATAGGTTAAGAAAGGTGGCATTTGGGATTTTTTCTCCTCCTCCTCTTCTCTATCTTCTTTCTCTTAGAGCCCATCTCTCCTTCCCATCAATGCCTTACTTCTCTTAATAATATTCTTTTCTTCTTGATTCTGCATACCTTCCAAGTCCTCCTGTGGTCTGCTAGGACCAGTCCACTGAATTAGGGGAAGACTTCCCATTTGTCTCCTCTTTATATCTCATTCTGGGAGACATAATCTAGGTATCCAAATAATTCCTTCAAAGGCCCTGTCTGGGGCTTGTTTGAGAGGAGGTGACTCACAAGTGCAACTTTCAGACAAGAGCATCAGCATTGCTGCGGAACTTGTTTGAAATGTGGTCTAAGTTCTCCCTGTATCAGAGTCTGCATCTGAAACAGATCCTCAGGTGATGGTGCACCTGAATCTCTGTTATAAAGGGGCTTATCTCCTAAGGTTAGTTGCACAGAGAAGAGAACAAGTGTCAGTTAGTGTTGGGGTGCAAGGGGTTTACTGGGTGATGATAGAAGAAAGAGAAAAGAGCCTGCAGAAGCCAGCGGGGAAAGCCTTCAGCCCGTGACACCTATGAAAGCAAAGAGAGGAGGAAGAGGGTTGAACAGAGTCTCGGACTGCAATATATTTCTTACAAAGTCATGTCCAACCCAATGGGGGAGATCCAAGGCAAAGATGGCACAGCAGAAGAGTTCTGCAGTGGGCAGAAATGGCCAGGTCCCTGTAACCCTGTTGAGCTCAGTCATTGACAGAAGGCTGCCGAGGAAGGGCCAGAAGCCACTAATGGCTGGAAGCTCTCAGCTAATGGCACTCCTTGAAGCTGAAAAGGAACTGCTTTCATTAAAGCACACCCTCCCCATATATCTCCATGCCTGCCACATGTGACATCTGAGGATAATTGTATAAGAAATCTTTAAATGCTGGTAAATGTATGGAAAGCAGGTTGAAGGAAATACCACATTAAAGGAAACCTACTTTATACACTTTTCCAGCTCTATTTATGCTGTGCTCTTATTCTTTAGGGAACAGTCTCTCTAAGGGCCCCTGGAAGGCAAGGTCCTGAGGACTCTATCCCAAAGGGAGCACAAGCAGCTCTGTATCACAATGTGTATGAGTCAGTAAACAAGATTCAGTGGCCATGGGTCTCTTGAACTCACCCTCTGCAAGCTCAGTAGGCCCCAGGCTCCCAGGGCAGACCTGATCCTGACCGGACAACCTCAGAGCCAGAGAAGAATTAAAAACCCAGGGCATGTGGAACAGGGATGGCAGAGGGCTGGGGACAGGAGGGCAAGGCTCTGTGGTTACAGTCATGCTCTCACACGTTGATTTTCACTTTCCTGCCCCTTCCTCACCCATGCACACTTGCAAAGATGGCCATCCCCCCATGCACAGAACCACACACAATGAAAACATTTACATATACCACATTCATATCCACCTTCATGCAACTCACAAGAAGGCCCTAGGCACATCTATTTCTCCAAACCTGACACAAGCCTCTATGTGCACACCTTGCTATTCCAACAAACATGTGTGCACCCCGTAGCAAGTTTCCCAAACTTCCCTTATGTGCACATATATTCCCAGACAAGAGGCTGTAACCTCCACATATATTAACAATAAACAACAGAGAGGAACAAAAAGAGACAAACAAACTTTGAATGAACTGAACATTCAAGAATAGTGACTTTATGGTAACTGAACATCAACAAATATCTGGAGGCTGTGTCTGGAGATGGCAGATATGCCTTGAAAGATATTTCCACTGGGCACAGCTGCCCACTAAAACCCCACAGGGGCTGGGGCTGGGGCAGGGGCAGATAATCCACTTCCTAAAGTAGAAAGAAAGACTTAGCTGTTACTCCGCCAGCCTCCTGCCTCCTGTGGGAGGAAATTAAAGCTCTCAGGCCAGATGCTGGGAAGGGGAAGGGGGAGCACTTGTGTCTGGAAAGGGGGTTACACATTTCTGTAGAGGAGTGGAGTGGAGGGAGCAAGGGCTCAAGCCCTTGCGTGTTTGGATTTGAATCCCAGCCTTACCACTTTCTACCTGTATGACCATGGGCAATTTAGTCAATCTATGTGTCTCATTTTCCTCAACTATGAAATGGAGATAGTAACAGTACTGAGAAAACACATTGCTGTAGGAATACACCGGTCAGTATTTGTAAAGTGCTAAGGGTGGACCTAGTACATCCCAGGAGCAAAGTAAATATTGCTTCTTTTCTACTCCTGGGAGTCCCCCAGCCCAGGGATTCCACAACCTCCCTGGCCCCTCCCACCTCCCCCCACTCCCCACAATCCCCCCTTCACAAAGCCTTAGCTGCTAGCTCCAAGCTTCACCAGAGGGCAACAGCTCTCACCAGGCTTTTTCTCTTCCTCCTCCCCTTCTCTGTTAACTGTTTTTACAAATAGATTTGTGGAGAGCAGGGAGGAGTTGTATGTCCTCAGCGAATTTGTCCGTGGGCCATTGCTTTCTGGACTGGGAATCAGGGCTGTCCGAGGGCAGTGGCATGGGGCATTGCCAGCTCTCAACCTTATGTTGGGTGTGTAGGAAAATAAGAAGAGAAAGGCTTCCCCACTGGTCTGGAGGTATCTCCATCTCTATGAATCTCTACATCTCTAGATCAGCAAGGCCTCAAGGCCGTAGCTCCGCCCAGCCCCTTCCGGTCTGTGATTCTTCCCCAAGAGGAGAGAATACGGCTGTCATCTGTTGTCTCATCCGTCCAACCCAAGGCAGTTCATTTCCCCTGGAGTCCACTGGCGTTCAGCGAGTTCCCAGGTGAACTGAAATCCACAGCTATTCTCATCCGGTTGCCCTGGGAGTTTCAGCGCTCTCGGTACAACCTGTTCCTGCAGCCTTTCCACTCCCTCCCTCCCCCCTCCCTCCGCCAGGCTATGCCCATTTCAACCCCCCTTCCTCCGCTCTCCCGGGGACCCAGCTGTGCCCTCCGGGGAGACACCGACGCAGCGTGCCCCGAGAGGAGAGGCGGGAAGGGGAGGGGAGGGGACCCGGCGGGAGAGGGGGAGGGAGGAGGCGGGGGAGCCACACAGGGTGGAGACAGCACCGCCCCGCAGCCAGAGAGGGGCGGCTGAAGGTTGCATCTGCGGGAAGGAGGCTTTCGGCTGCTTGGTAACGGGCTGCCAGAACGGAGAGCGAGGCTGAGAGCGGGGCAGCGGCTTCTTGACGTCAGGACCGAGCCAGGGGACCGTGCCCAGCAGCCCCAGCCCGCCTCACAGGGGAGCCGGCCGACGGTTCGAGAGGAGCCAGACGCCAGGCGTCCAGCGGGGCGTGAGTTGGGGGGGTGGGGGGCGCCGACGCCGGCCGGCAGGGGCGAAGCATGCCCCCTGCCCGCTGGCCATGGAGATCGCCCTGGTGCCCCTGGAGAACGGCGGTGCCATGACCATCAGAGGAGGAGGTGAGGCCCGGGTAGGCTGTGGCCAGGCCATAGGGGGAGAGCTCCAGGGCCCCCCGACGGCTGGCCTCCGCGATGGACCCAAAGAGCGGGTTCCAAAGGGGCGCGGCGCGCAGAGGGGAGTGGACCCGGGAGGGCGGCCTTTGCCGCCACTGCCACAGGAGCAGCCACAGCCTCGACGGCGGCCACCGGAGGACGAGGAGGGAGAAGGCGACCCCGCCTTGGGCATGGCAGAGGACCGGGTGCTGGGCGCGGCGCCCCTTCACCACCAGCGCGTCCTTATAAACATCTCCGGGCTGCGCTTCGAGACGCAGCTGGGCACGCTGGCGCAGTTCCCCAACACCCTCCTGGGGGACCCGGCCAAGCGCCTGCGCTACTTCGACCCCCTGCGGAACGAATACTTCTTCGACCGCAACCGGCCGAGCTTCGACGGCATCCTCTACTACTACCAGTCCGGGGGCCGTCTGCGGAGGCCGGTCAACGTCTCCCTGGACGTGTTCGCAGACGAGATCCGCTTCTACCAGCTGGGGGATGAGGCCATGGAGCGCTTCCGGGAGGACGAGGGCTTCATTAAAGAAGAGGAGAAGCCCCTGCCCCGCAATGAGTTCCAACGCCAGGTGTGGCTTATCTTTGAATATCCAGAAAGCTCGGGGTCCGCGAGAGGCATCGCCATCGTCTCGGTCTTGGTCATTCTCATCTCCATCATCACCTTCTGTTTGGAGACCTTACCTGAGTTCAGGGATGAACGTGAGCTGCTCCGCCATCCCCCAGCGCCCCACCAGCCTCCTGGGCCAGCCCGGGGGGCCAATGGCAGCGGGGCTCTGGCGCCTCCCTCTGGCCCTACGGTGGCACCTCTCCTGCCTAGGACCCTGGCTGACCCCTTCTTCATTGTAGAGACCACGTGTGTCATCTGGTTCACTTTCGAGCTGCTTGTACGCTTCTTTGCCTGCCCCAGCAAAGCAGAGTTCTCCCGGAACATCATGAACATCATCGATGTGGTGGCCATCTTCCCTTACTTCATCACCTTGGGCACTGAGCTGGCAGAGCAACAGCCAGGGGGTGGAGGAGGAGGTGGCCAGAATGGGCAGCAGGCCATGTCCCTGGCCATCCTCAGGGTGATCCGCCTGGTCCGGGTGTTCCGCATCTTCAAGCTGTCCCGCCACTCCAAGGGGCTGCAGATCCTGGGCAAGACCTTGCAGGCCTCCATGCGGGAGCTGGGTCTGCTCATCTTCTTCCTCTTCATCGGGGTCATCCTCTTCTCCAGTGCCGTCTACTTCGCAGAGGCTGACAACCAGGAGACCCACTTTTCCAGCATCCCGGATGCCTTCTGGTGGGCAGTAGTCACTATGACTACGGTAGGCTATGGGGACATGAGGCCTGTCACTGTAGGGGGCAAGATCGTGGGCTCGCTGTGTGCCATCGCTGGGGTCCTCACCATTGCCCTGCCTGTGCCAGTCATTGTCTCCAACTTCAACTACTTCTACCACCGGGAGACAGACCATGAGGAGCAGGCAGCTCTTAAGGAAGAGCAGGGCAGCCAGAGCCATGGGACAGGGCTGGACAGCGGAGGCCCTCGGAAGGCCAGCTGGAGCAAGGGGTCCCTCTGCAAGTCTGGGGTGTCCCTGGAGAATGCAGAAGGAGCCCTAAGGGGCAGCTGCCCCCTGGAAAAATGTAACCTCAAGGCCAAGAGCAATGTGGACTTACGGAGGTCCCTCTATGCCCTCTGCCTGGACACAAGCCGGGAAACAGATTTGTAAGGGGGAGTCCAGGCAGATTGGTGGTGGTGGGGTGGGGATGGGGGAGGCCTCCTGAGTCTGGGCATCTACTTTATACCACAAAGTATTTCAAGCCCACCTTGAAGTCTGTCCCTCTTCTTCCACTTCTCTCCCTCCCCCTCCTTCACTTGATCCCCCGTTTTTCCTCTTCTTTCCATGACACCAAGGGTCGCCTATTTTTAAAAAGTACCACATTCCATGACGCAGGAGCTATTGAAATGGTGGGCACTGTAAATGGATGTATTTGTAGCCAGTTTCCTATACCCAGAAGAGGGATAACCCAAACAAAAATGACTTTAAATAGCCCAGATCCCAAGAGATTTTGTAACCCCCTTCATGTGTTCCAAATTTGCTTTACATACGATTTTATTTGTGTATAGGGGGAAATATTATTTTTATGGCTGGTGAATGGATTTTTGTACTGTAGTTCAGATGGAGATATTTTGGATATATTTTCCAGAAATGTTGTATTTATGGAAGAGAGAATTATTGTGATGTTTTTCTGTGACACTTAGAGCCAGAGACCCTGGTTGCGGCTGTTCTGGTTCCTGTGTCTGTAAGCCTCTCTCTTTTCTGGGATGTGGTATCGGTGCTTTGTGTCTAGGGCAGGGAATGTTCTGGAAGAAAGGCAAATCTGACCTTTTCTGTGCGCCTTAAACAATTCTTGTAACTTTCTTTGAAAAGCATTTTAATGATGTTGAAGAAAGACTTCTGATAATTCATTGTCTTTAATTTTATCCCAGGAAATAAAATGTTACTTGGTTGAGGCAAGTGTTAGTTTTGTTTTTGTTTTTGTTTTGGAATTTAGAAAGAAGTCTGTCACTTGCTGTTTCTGGTATTGAAGTCAGAGCAAACACCACGTTGACTGGGGTAGATCGCTTGGAAAGGTAATGGTTTGATTGTCACCTTCTTTTTGCTGGGCCCCCTCTGCACATCACAGCCAGAGGGATGAACTCTGTTTGTCTCAGACTGTTTATGACATGCCGCCTGATGGTGTGGTATCAGACCCAACCAGCAGCACGGTGTGTGGATGCAGCTGAAAGGCAAGGGAGGATCAGACCCCTTACTGGCCCCACTGCTGTCTCCTGGGGCTGCATTTCTGAGTTCTCCTTGGTCTGCAGGCTTTAAGCCCTGTTTAACATGGCTCTCAACAGCTCTGTGAAACAAGCCTGATTCTCACAGGCATGAAGCCTGTTCACAAAAGTGCAGCCCTGGTGTGTGAAAGTCATGGAGGAAGGAGGGACCAGTACCTTGCTGTTAAACTCTCCCCCTCAATCATAGTGTGGGAAAAGAGAATGCAGTGACTTTCTGGTGGACAGAGGCAGAGAGAAGCCAAATGGAAGAATTTGCTTGTCCGTGTTGAAGGTTAGTTTCTACGGATTGTGGCCTTGTGCTGAGTAACACCCATATTCAGAACGAATGAATCTCTTGGTTCCCTTTTTACTGGATGGTGGTGGTCACCATCACAGTAGGTATAATACTGACTGCCATTTCTCTCTGGGATTAGCTACCTTCTGGTGCTCCGGATTCCTGCTATTGCTTTTGCCGCTAAAGAATCCAAAGACTGGTCGTCTTACATCCTCACCAGGGTAGGCTGGTAACCCACTATCCCACCTCCCCCACTACCACAGGAAGCATAATGTCTGGTTCTGAGAGTGCATCCACGTCTCCATGGGGTGAGGGAGGCTTTGCTAAATTGATGTCTGGGAACTGTGGATTTAAATAAGACGCCGACATAATAATAAAAGCCAGTGTCTGTGACTGCCTGGAGTCATTTTCAGTCAGGAACTGTTAACAGCAAATCTGAGGCAGAAACAGGATTGTGCAGGCAGGGCTCTGTTGTTTTTCATTACATGCTGAAGCAAAAAGAAGAAGAACAGAGGCTATTTATTTATAATTTACAATCTGCCTAAAAGCAGGGCATCTTGCCAAAGCTCAACTCCACAGTCTCACCTCCAAGCCCTCTTTGGCTCTCAAGCTAATGCATGTAGTTGGGCACCCACATGGTGATAGCGACTAGATCCTCCCTCAGGATCCACCCTCCCTTAAGGACAAGAGAAGTCATCACCTATGACTTGAAAGTCAGTTCCTTCAGGCTCAAAGAGAGACCAACACCTGGATCATAGATGTGTCCAGATGCCTAATCGATGTTGGTTCAAGTAGAACAGACTGCATGGTTGAAATATCCAGTAAGTGGCTTCAGTCCTATACAAATCCTTAGAGAGAAAGGGGAGGAAAAGAGAGAGAGGGTTTTTGTATTTGGCATGAGAGAAGGGGATACTGCAGTGCAGGGTTACAAAGGGGATCAGGGAAGTTCCAGAGGTGGGTCAGTTTCCTTAGTCCCATGCTGCAACCTCCCATCCCTGAGTTCAGTGTCATGGTATCTGCCCTGGGGCACTGAGTGGGCGCCCACTAGGCAGTGCACGGATTTCAATCTCTCCACCTTCTCAGTTCACCTGTTGCCATGATTTCAGAAATAGGCTGCACTCTTTCACTACATCCATTATGTCTTGCCTGTTCATGTGATTACAAAAAAAAAAAAGAAGAAGAAGAAAAGAAAAGAAAATGGGTGGGGGGCTGAATGTCAAGGCTCTTTAACCCAGGCTACCTGAGATTAGGGGCCCCTGCATTCTCTCCCATTCCCCTCTTCTCTGCTGTCATTGATTTTCCATAGACTTTATCTTCCTGAGAAGATTAGATCACATAGCCTCAGCCAAGCTTTTTATCCAGATGTTATATCTTGGCTCCCGCAGCAGGAAACCAGCACTGGGTTCATAATCTACCAGCTCTGGCCACCACAACTGGGAGAGCAGGGCTGTGCTTTATGTTATGCTCTTATGGGAGGACAGCTTCTCTACAGCAAAACATCTGGCCCCCTATTTTTCTCTACTTATTGGTGTCTTCTCCTGTCCATGTTTCCTGAACCCTAAGCAATGACAGATTCAGAAAACAAATCTTTTCACATGCTTTAAGAACCCCAGCTCCTTGATTACCGTGCCTGGGACACTCCCTAGAGAGGAAACTGAAACAGAGAATCAGCCCTAGAGGAATCTTTTCACTGAGCTGGGCTTTGAGTGATTCTAGCATTAACCATAGAAGCACTTCTGGGCTTAGAGGAGAAGGCACAAAGTGTTTCTCTTGGAGCCGGGACACCTTGCTCCAAGTCCCCTCCAGAAATGGCAGGCTTGTGTACAGTGGAGTGTGACCCTGGGTGATATGCAAGTACTCTCTGCAGTTGGACCTCAGCAAAACGTGGTTTATTCACCAGTCACTCTGGGCCCCACACTCTTCATTGTGCTGGTGATGATGGATACTAGACAAATGTTAGGATGTGGTCTCCGCCTTCTTATGCTTCCACTCCCCCTGGGGAAGCAATCGTGTAAAACAGAAGCAGGCCATGCAAGACAGTATGTGATCAAGTGTCTTGGAGGGAATTTCAAAATTTAGTGTTATGGGTCAGATATGAGAGGGTGAGGAGAATAGAAGAGAGGAGCTTCTGGAGACCTGAGAGATGGCTAGGAAGAGGGGAGGGAATTCAAGATGAGGGTGGGAGTGAAGGGTCAGAGAGTGGCTTCCTTGTCCTCATCACCATTATTTGGGGGTCATGTTCAGAGTCAAAGGCTGGTGCTCCTCCCCAGGATGGCAGTAGGAGATCCGATTGTGCCATTGGCAGGGCCACTCAACTGTTGTTCAGGGTAGAGGTTGGCAAAAGTTCTGAAAAGGGCTATATAGTAAATATTATAGGTTTTGTAGGCCAAGAAGCAAATGGAAGCTACTACTGTAGGCACTCACATTACGATTTAAAATACAGTCATTTAAAAACAACAAAACCAGCCTCAGCTCAAGAGCTACACATCCCTGTCATACCAGTTTATCTGTCACACAAAGGATGACTCTGGGCACCCAGTCATGCCTGTGACACCTGACGTGACTCCCTGATTTGATTTTTATACCACTGAATTTGTATTTCTTCAAATGATGACCCCCATCTTGGGGAAGGACTCTCATGCTAGGATTTCCTAGACCAGGGAAGGCCTTATTAAGAAGATGTTACTCACTTCTCCCTCCTCCCTTCTCACGAAGATTAGACTGTGCTAGTGTCTGTGAGGCAGGCTGCTCTGTTTCTAGGAAGAGGAAGAAAGGCCAAATTGGAATTTCTGCCTAGGACTCTGGGCAGTGGGTTTTCCCCAAGCTGAAGGTAGAAGTAGGCCCAGACTGCCAGAAGATGGGCCTCCTTCTCCTTCTGGTCCTTAGTCTTTTCCCAGACATGACATCATGAGGGAGACATAAGGATGTACTTCCCCTCCCCGCTTTACCTGGTTCTCCTCTGGCTGTAAAGATGGGCCCTGGGCTTGTGTGTCTTTTGCATGCACACAGTATGCATGTGGTATGCACGTGTATAGGAGTGTGCATGATGGGGGAAGTGTGGCCCAGCCTGGAGGGAATCAACTCCAGAACTCAGGCTTCCAGACAAAGCCAGAGGATTTCTACCTGCCCTTTGAAATGATATTTATTGTCTGACATCAAACTTTGCACCATGCAATGTTTCTGCTGGAAGGAGCCTTACAAGTAACGTGGTATATCCTGCTCATTTTACAAATGAGCAAACTGAGACCCACAGAGAAGAGGTGATTTGCCCAGTCACACCCATAGCTAAAGGAAAGTAGGACTGGAACTGTTTTCCTGACTCCTAGGCTGGATTTCCACTCTGCTTCAGAATTCTGCATGAAAATTCTCAAGCTGCCCCCCTACCCCTCCTCCCCACACATATCCCTGCCATATCAGTTTATCTCTACCCGGTGTGCCTGTGCAGGCTGCCTCCTGGGTATCCAATTATGCTTGTGATGCTCTGATTTGTTTTCTGTGATTTGATTTTGTTCAACTCGCATTTATTGCAAAGATCAAGCCTGTATGGGCAATGAAGGTATAGCACTGTAATGAACAGTCTCCTACATACACGTATCCCACTGTCAGGGGGCAGGGGGGAATATATGAAATGTTTATAATCCAGTGTCCTTGATACTACCATTCATTCATTCATTCATTCAATCAACCAACCAATCAATATTATTTAATTAGGATTAACTC